CCCCCGACCCTAAACCCTAAACCGCCTTGTCTCCGGGCCTGTCCCAGGGACCAGATCAGAGGATTTTGAGTCAATTCCCTAAGCCCGCAAACCCTAAGCCCTAAACCCTAAATCCCTAAATTCTAAACAGCTGCCGGGGGCTTTGTTCTGAGACTGGGTTGTTGTTAGCCATAGTACTGGGAGCCATAATACGCATATGTAGGGCAATGGGCGTTTAGGGTTTAGGGTTGCTGTTGAGGAACTTGCATTTATTATCTGCATGTATATATATATACACCTATTTTTGTACGTATACATATGTATAGCAAATAGCAGGACATCCACATCATTGTAATTCAGCTTGGGTTCCTTAACAGCAGCCCCCGCAAACCCTAAACCGTAGAACCTCGACCCTAAACTGGACCCCAGACCCTGACTTACCTATACGCATATCATATCCTAAACCCCGAACCCCTAGCCTGCCTATATGCATATCATGGTTAGGAAGTACTGGGTGCCAGAACCCTGCAATCTCATGTGAGTAATGTCTCATTTGAGGGGATTATAGCCTCCTATACAGAGTGACATGACATTATCCTTTCCGTTGTGGTCGTGTGTAAGAAGTATCTAACGTCGCTCAGCTCAACCACCAAAAGAACCGAGCCCCGTGTTTGTGGCGCTCCATTCTTTGAATTTGCCAGCTGGTTTCGGACAGTATCACACACTATATACCTGGTGCGTAGTAGGGAACAAGGGCCTGGATCCAGGTAGCCCATATAATGCCCGCCCTACACTAGTCCTTATTCCCACCAGTCCGCTATTACCTACTAAGCACCAGGAAGCAGATCCACTGCACAGAGGTTGTCCCCCGCAAGCGGATCAACTCGATTTCCTACGCTTTGCACACAGGTGCGGTGCAGTGGAATTCTCGCTTTGTTCCGTGCGGGTGGTGCAATGCTAGAGGTCTCCGGAATTGATTTCGGACTCCTACTCTTCCTGAAGGTATTGAAGTAAGGAACGAGGGTCTGAGTATAAGGGATTAGATACACCATTATACGGCTACTACGCTAGTCTGTGTTTGCAGGCCGCTCATTTCTTGCTGGCGCGCTGGTTCGCATTGACCAGGTGCAGGCGGACGATTCTTGTGGTTGTCTGAGAGCTGATTAACTTAAGTGCCTGTGACCTGTTGCTCCCGGTGATTAGCCTTGAATGCAGGGTTATGAGGTTTTGGGACTAATATATATATATATATATATGGTAGTTTCCCAAAATAGGGGTACCCCAATATAGACCCCAAAATACTATAGTCCTTATTATTGGGCCCCCAAAATGGTACCCCTAATTTTGGGAAACCCCCCATATATATAAGGGAATGTATGGGAACTACCCTCGGGATCCAGTAGTCCACCAACCACCACCAAGCTTTTGCAGGGAAACATCAGCTTCTTGACGTCCTTCTTTGGCCTGAGCGTGACGCTTCATGTCTGCCATGGGCCCAGGCAAGCAGATAGACGGGGATGTGGGAATTTCACACGTTGCCCCTAAACCCTAAGCTTATAGTCCCCCTTAAGTAGATAGAATATGGCTTTGGGTATGTTATAATAAGATCCCCATATACCCCATTTTCTATCTACTTAAGGAGGACTATAAACCCTAAACCGCCCTACCCCAAACCCTAAACCAGAAGCCCTGTCTCTGCCACATTCCTATCACCTTAGGGTCCCTCGGCTCCTTGTGTTAAAGATGTTGTCCTTTGTGGCACCAGGACACCTAGGCACCTGACTTTAGGGTTTAGTGAGTGTTTAGGGTCATAGTTCCCCCGCTCTTATTGGAGTAGTATTGAAAACAGGGATACCAAAGTCCCCAACACGGCGTAAGACCGTAATCTCCTCCTTCGCTTGACATTTTACAACGAATTCATTTGTTCCACCACCACCGCGCCGCCGAGACGCAGTCCATTTGTGTGGTCATGTTTCCGTAGAAGCCAAGTTACCCAGTATTTCATTTTGGGATACTATAGGGCTATATTGGGGATATATGGGGACAATGGAAAAGAAAATGGAAACTATAGGGACTATAGGGTTATATTGTATTTTATTTGATATTGGGTTCCTGTCCTTAAGGCCCTAAAAAAAATTATACTATCTGCAACCCAAGGACCTACTATATGAGTCCTGGGCTTCTAGGGTTTAGTACGTCAGCAGCACTTCACACCCACCCTGCCGCGTGTGCAAGGTCAGACGTGCAAGGCTGAGGACGGCTGCGGCACTATGAATGGAAATGCTAGGTAGGGAAAACCCCAGTTACAGCCAGGTAACATCCTACAGCCTCGTGTACACACATATATATATATATACACACATATTTCTTATGTCATATTGTATTATATTACTTGGCTACTAACATAGATTACAACACTATAGTGTTTCGAGTGATACCTGCCCAGTGGAAGATTATGAGTCCGGCAGCCTCCACTGGCCGCGGCAGGAAGGAAAAGTGGAAGTGGAAGTGTCGCATAGAAGCACTCCGAATGAAAGTAGTGTTTAGGGCTTACAAGAATCTTCACCCATGATCAAGTGCAAATGCATATGTAGATCTGAGCTGGGACTGTAGTCCCCCTTAAGTAGATAGAATATGGGGTATATGGGGATCTTATTATAATATACCCAAAGCCATATTCGATCTACTTAAGGGGGTCTATACATGGTGGCGGTAGTGGTCTACAGGGTGTTTTAGTGTGTAGAGGCGGCCTTGCCGATATTGTGCGCCTTTATCCTTGTATTGGCCTGTAGTATCCCTAGGGATCCAAACAGCCCAATGTAGCTAATATTTACAGACTTTAGGGCCCAATGTAGGTATTATTTGTATACCTGGACCCCTAGAGTATGCTATGCGCCCAATCGTTCTTCAATTTTGGGTACTACAGTGACAGTACCGCAGTGCCCCTCCTTCATCCTCCTGATGCCTGATGCGCCTGAGCCAGCAACGCCCCAAAACATACCTTGTCGAGGAAAATGGTGGGGTGGTTTTGTTGCATGGACTACTTGCTGCTTGGTAGGGGATGAGGGAAGTGACTATTTTCGAAATTTTGAAATACAGCCGCTAAACTTGTCCCTGAAACCCTTAAAGCCTCAACCCTCAAGCCCAAGCAAGACTCTAGGTCGGCCCTTGAGCGTAAAGCGAAGTTCAGTGCAGGACCTAATGAGCCGAAAGTCTGGTGATTTCTTCTATCCACCGCACAGTCGTGCCTTGGCTGCGGCAATGCGATGGTTGCTTTACGGGGTTTATGGGGTGTGTAGGGTTTAGGGCCTAGCATTTAGGGCCAAGGGTGATATCACCCCAAAGCAGAATCAAACCCAAATATACTACACTATAGTAGCTTCCATTTTCTTTTCCATTAAATTCTATATAACCCAATGTTACCCCAATATAACCCAAAATCTCAAGATCCAACAAGAAACAAGAACATGGACAATGACATGGACCCGGGGCTTATATGAGCTATAGTCTAAACTCCTTAAAGGGGGGTTATATAGGGGATTATAGAGGGGACTACTATAGGGGTTATTCAGGGGGATACTAGGAGTTTAGACCCTGGGCTTATTAGGAGAGCATCGGGATAATTGCCAGATCATGGTCCTAGAGTCCTGGTATAGTTCTAGCAGAGGGTACCTCAAAATAGACCTCAACAGGACATTAGTAATCCTTCAGACTTCTACATCATTTTAAGGGGCCAAGGACCCAAAGAAAAAGGCTTTAGGGTCCAAATACTATAATATTAAGGGTATTTGGGCTCTTAAACCATATTATTTGGGTCTTTGGGTCTTAAGGTTAGCATATTGCAATGAGTCACGCTGCAAAGCAAGGTCGCATATTGATACTTCCTGGTTGACGGTCTCTTTAGCCAAATGGCATCTATGGACCGGTTGTTGAGTTTGGATAGCGCGGAGGCTTCCTCCTCATGATGTGACGCGATTTTGATTCTTTATGCGTCTGCAGAAAACCTTGTATTACCCCTATATTACCTATTGTCTAATCTCCTTAAAGGGGGTTCTATAGGGTATTATATAGGGGAGTAGATAAGGGGTTCTTGAGGGGGATACTAGGAGTTTAGACTATAGCTCAAGTAGTCCTTGTATAACCTTGGCTTGTCCTTCGGATCACCCTTTGAACGATTGCTTCAAGTGGGATCCAGAGCCCTTGTTTCGACAACACCCTGTGAGGGATCTTGAGTCAGATTCTAAGGGCTTCGATTTTCCAACTCGATTCCGCGGTTTTGATTTTTGCAAAGCTGTCATCCAGCAGGTGGATACTTTGGCATGTAGGCCACGAAGGACTTTCGGCCTCTTTAAAAGCTTCCAAGTGGAAATGACAACAAGGGGTGGAAATTGAATCCAGCACCGCTGTCGAGGATTCAAAAGTATTAGACTAGGAACCCCAGTGGTACCCTTTTACCCTTTTTGGGTTCTGGGTTCCCATATATAATATACCAACAGAAAAAAGGGTACCCTTATTGTAATCTGGTTACTGGGCTACCAAGTAGACTCCACACGTGCAATTTGCAACCCTATGTGCAAAAGGCTTTTGCCCCGAAAGAAAGCAGAACATGGCAGCCAATCTGACAATGACAAATACCTCTAGCAGTTGTCAAGATTAGGGCCCCTAGTTGGGGTTTAGGGCTTAGGTCCATTTAAACGCGGATGATGCGCAACAAAGACACCCACGCCTGTGAGAGTTCGATCGCTCCTGAACATTTTCCAGCAATTCCGGCATAACGTAAGCGAACATGAGTTGCGTTTTGTATAGCCACTATGCCCTATGCCTAAGCCCGAAACCCTAGACCCTAAACCGTAAACCCTGAAATCCCCAAACCCCAAACCTTGAAAAAAACCCTAGACCCTAAATCCTAAGACCCTAAATCCTTAAACCCTAAACCTTATAAACCCATAAACCTATAGGCCTTATGCAATCCGCCGGTCTGCTTGGGACTTCCTGAGGGTCGGGTCCTGTGGTCTGACACCCTTCCTTTAAAGGTTTAGGATCAAGGGTTTTTTAGGGTTCATGAAGTTTAGCGTTTAATTTGGATTTAAGTTTTAGGGGTTTAGGGTTTAGGATTAGGATTTTTGGGTTTAGGGTTTGAGGGTTTAGGGTTTTAGGGTTTAGGATTCAGGGTTTCGGGTGTCTGATTCGAGTAGGAACCTAGGACCACAACGCTCATGTTTGGGTTTCACATGGCCCCTGTACGGCTGAGGGTTTTGGGTATGGTTTCGGGTCCAGGGCTTTACAGGGTTTAGTAGTATCTCTTGGAATAACATGTAGGGTTTGAAGGCTTTCTGCTTGTACTATTGACATAGGCGCCCCTTTCAAGTGCAATTGCAGGCGAAGACTGCGAGCGGATCGGTCCGCTCGTGCGCCACCGCGTGGAGGACCCTAAACCCTAAAACCTAAACCCTAAAACCTAAACCCTAAAATCTAAACCCTAAATCCTAAACCCTAAACCCTGGACCGAGACTTCAGCTTCAGCTCACATACTGATACACAAGCAGTCCCCCAAAGGGCAAATGGTGGATATATGAGCCATTGTCTAAACTCCTTAGATACATAGGGGATTCTATAGGGAACTACTTTAGGGGTCATTAAGGGGGATACTAGGAGTTTAGACAATGGCTCATATGGGTTGTTCAGTTCTCAAAATTATGGGCCCCTTTTGGTCATAGAGTTTATTGTGGCGTCTAATAGTCTGGGGTACCAAAATGGGACCCTAATTTTGGGAACTTTTCAATTGAATTTCCATTACTGCGGTCAGATCCCTAAACCCTACAGACCGTGAACGCTCCAAGATCCTAGCAGCTCTTGCGGTTATTCAGCAAAACTGCTGAGCGTGGGTTCAGAATTCATGGGACCCCTGAAATGGCGTCTTAGGGCTTAGGGTGATTTTCTGATGTTGAGGGATTTGGGTTAGCTGTAATAGTGGTATAATAAGAATATAAGAGGACCCTAATATCATCCCTATTATCCCTTATAGTCACTATTACTGGGTGGGGGTCCACCTAAGATATGGGTCTGCACATGGCATACTGAGCTGCAAAAGGGCTGGCCCTGGCCGTGCCTTGGGGATGTCCGTTATTCCCAAATGATTTGTCCCAAAGGGTCAATGTAGCTATATAGTATATACTTAGGGCCCAAAGGGGTTCCCACATAATTACCTTAAGGGCCCAAGTATATACTATATAGCTACATGGACCCTTTGGGTGTGATTGCGTTGTTCAGCGCGTTCAAAGTGAGTGGCCATAAATGAGCTATAGTCTAAACTCCTTCGAGGGGTCCCTGCCGGGTGAGCAAAACACCTGAACCCTACACGTTGAGTACTGCCCCCACCTTGTAGGAGTTGGATAATGTCAGTGAAATAGTTTTATACAGCCTCCAGTATGACCCCTAGTATACACTGTTTTGGGGTGGGGGGCAGTACCCAACCTACACCCTTAACCTTCTGGTGTTGTGTCGGCTCTTGCTGACTATAGAACCGGCCAAGTTGTTGACTGAAACTCATGGAGATTGGAGGAACCCTATACTCGCAAGTGGGTAGTGCCCAAAATGAGGGTCCCATTTTGGTACCTCTAAACATAAGGTGCCGCCATATAGTTTATTCCCAGAAGGGACCCATAATTTTGAGAACAACCCAATTGCTTTAAACATATTATGCCCGCTTTGCTCCCTAAAGTCTATGAAAAGTGTCTACACTGATTTTGGGGACCTGATACTTAGGCAAGAGGGTTGTAGTGCTTTGGGCTTCATTCCGGGAACGCAGCGCAGCCATGAAGGTCACTACCCCGCACCTTGCCACGCCGTTGAGGCGCATTGCACAAACCAAAGGGTCCACGCAGCTATATATGGAATACCCTGAGGGTCCAAGGACCCAAACAAAGGATTTTAGGGCCCAAATACTGCAGTATCAATGGTATCTGGGCACTAAAACCTCATTATTTGGGTCCTTGGACCCTTCGGGATATACTTATGGCCCGAAGGGGTTCCTGTAAATCTACTTTGTCACCTCAGGATATGCTGTGTAGCTACCCCTTGGGCAAGCAGCTACAGTTATTTTATGCATCAGACATGCAGGATGTATAATGCCGCCGCATAATAAGCAGAGGAATATAAGAAGACGCCTTGCAAGAGAGTACTGCAAACAGCTTCATGATCTTCAACAAATTTCTACAGTTTCCTGGTCTGGAGGATTGCAAAAGTCACAGCTGCATCTATGTTACCGCGAGACCGATAGCTGTCATGGTTGGACACTCCCGCAGTGACTGCTCGTGAATGACCTGCATCAGCAGCAGTAGCAGCAGCACAGTCAGCAACATGACCGGCCTTACAGGGCACTAAGCGAATTACCAATTACGAATCTCATGTCGGGGTTTATTTGGGGTGCTTCATACCAGAATCTGGGACGATGATGTTGGCAAATTGTTCGGGCCCCTTCGTAATTCCTTCATAGCCCATAGCAGCCCTTAGAAACCCAGTTTCCTAGCAATTCTGCATGTGTTTTGCCAGGTGATTTCGCTGTAAGCCCTAGACCTCAACAGTTGGTTGATTTAGGGTTTCGTGGTAGCTATTTGGGCTACTATAGTCCTGCAGACGCAAGCCGAGGGCCGGGTAATGCATGCCACCACTGCCTGTAGCCCCATTTACCTACAGTTCGTTTTTTTGGGGGAAGTTCCTACCCCAAAGGGTCCATGTAGGTAAATGGTATATACTTAGGGCCCAAAGGGGTTCCCATATACCTACTTTAAAGCCCAAGTATATACCATATAACTACATGGACCCTTCGGGTACTACATTGCAGGTAATTGGCTCTACAGGCAAGCTTTAGCTTTTAGCTCCGGGGAGAATCATCAAAACCCTGCATTTCTCGTGTCACCATCAGGGTTTTTTTTCACAATTGGGGATGCTTAGGGAGCCTAGGGATATGGGTAGTTCCCAAAATTAGCGCCCTAAGTATTAATTAGGTGCCGTAATATAACCTAAAAACTAGAGGGGGCCCATGATTCTGGGAACTACCCATATGTACGAAGCACATGGGTCATTAGGAGGTTCTGTGAATCCGCATTTGGGATTTTGTATGGCGTTGTCTGGTGAAACACCCCAAATTAACCAGCGGCCAGGTGCCGTTCTCCTTGCGACTTTCTTGGGCATGGATCGCACCCGCACATGTTTGCCACTCGGCGCAAGCACGCTGTCATATTCTATTGGAGGGTTTAGGCCGCTGGTGCACGGAGGCATATGTCCTCATACTTCTACACGAGGGTTTGAAGAAAAAAGGTGGCGGGGGTGAGAGGGGGGGGGGGAGGCAAATAGTCCCTGACATACCGCAATCCTCATCATAAGCAACTTCAAAAAGGGGGCCCTCCATACTTGGAATCCCCATATGACTGGCTCTTGAAGCTGTAGGTCGCGCTTCTGAGTGTCAGCATATCAGGGCTATATACTTTTGGGCTTGCATTAGCGGATCTCAGTGTAAGAACAGCTCACCTTTGTGCCTCCTGTGATGTAACAACCTTTTCTGATGCTATTTGTTCCGCTGCGCACTCGGGACATGATGGTTTACAACAGGATTCAGCGCGCTGCTTTGGGATTTACAACTTGGAGCTAGCCGCCGCCAACAAAAATATTCAGGACACTTATTCGTACTTCCGGACTAGATCCAACCAGGCATCTACTATACTGAAACGGTCATGGCTCGGTGTTGTACTTCACTTGCCTAAACCCCAAACCTATCTTTGGTTAGCTAGGAATGAAGAGATGGATCCTTATAGCAGTCCCTATAATGATCGTAGTTTCCATGTTCTTTTCCATTCGTCCCAAACCCTGACCCCAAACCCTGAACCCTAATCCCTAAACCATGTAGAATCCCATTATGGTAGTTTTCTTTTTCTTTTCCATTCCCTTATTCCCAGCTAACCTAAGGGAAGTAAGCCCAGAGTTTAGATCTTCCTCCCAAACACCAGCATAAGACCCAGCATTCAAGCCTGAACTGTTGGATGTAGGGTTTGGGGTTCAGGGGTTAGGGTTTAGTGTTTAGGAACCTTGGGTATTTGTGCTGAGATCCGGGAGATAAAGCGCCTGCCGTATGCCTGTGTGTCTTTGTCTCGTCCAGGGTCCATTATCTTGATGGAAGTGCTCTTGAGCGTCGATACCTTGGACCCTATCCCGAATGGTCCATGTACCTAAAAGGTCAGAAGAGTCATGTTAATGGACCTTAAGTACTGATGCACGAAGTCATTCGGGAAACAATGTATTATTTTCAGTAAGTACTTGGACCCCTAGGGTACACCTAAGTCCTAAGTGGTGCGAGATGTTGTCCAGCCACAGTAGTGCATCACAGGCCAGTCATGAAGGCTCCGGATGTTGCTCTATGCAGTGCTATGCAGGCAGTAGAATGGCCCCTTCCTTCCATTGCAGCGGGTCCCGACATAACCCTCACCATATCACAGGCTTGTACTGCACTATACCCTAAACCCTGAACCCTACTATACCCCCCTTCATGAATTTACCCATGGAAGGGCTTCAAACCCATGACCCCACTATAGACCCCAGGTTGATACTACACGAGCCTAAGCCGTAAACCCCAATATTTGACTCCAAAATGCTACAATCCTTTCTCTGAGGACCCCAAAAGGGCCCCCCATGTTTAGGACTACCACAAGCTATCAGAGCTTATCATTCCAAATCTATAAACCCGAAACCCATCCCGGGAAGCTCTAGAATTTTGGCTTCTCCACCCCCCCTCCCCTACCCAGACCTCTATACTCTAACCCGTTTTTACGGTACCTAGTCTTATAGATCGCAAACACTAATCAGTAAGTCAGGTATCCTGGAAGGGGGGTAGGATTTGGTTTAGCTAAGGTTTCCCTTGATCAAGCCTAATTCGGTGGGGGGGGGTCCTTGCTGGCGTAGTATAGAGGGCGGTTGGTTATAAACCCCGAACCCTTGAACCCTAACGGAATAAGTGCACGGAGCAAACTCTTTTCTCTAATCCTAGACCTCTTGGACCCCCCAAAGGCCAATGATACCATCAGTCGTTCTACCAGTATTTCTGGTGAATGGCCATTCTTGTGGGTATTTGGGAGGTCTACGCCCCTATAGACTCTCCTATCTAACCCATATGCAAACCCCATGTAGCCACCTTAAAGGACTCTTTATTCTGGGCGTTTGGGAGGTCCAGGATTTGGCGAAAAACTTTCTGCTGCAGGTTTCTACAACCCAGCTCATCGACTGAACCTCAACCACTGTGGTGTGGCCCTGGCCTTAAGTTCAGGGTTCAGGGTTTGGGGTTGGGAGACTAAAAACCTTCCTGTATTACAGGGTTTAGGGTTCAGGGCCTGGGCACAAATTATAAGGAGACAGGGATATGATATAGACGGATATG